AACGACGAGAATCCTGAGGTCACCTGGAAGGACGTGCTTTTGTATTTCCGACTGCCATTGGTGCAGTAAGTTTCGCGGTACGACAATGATAGTAGCGGAAGAGAGGACCAATTGACGTGTGGGCGGTATTCGGGTGTTCCTATTCATGCGTGGAATATCTGGTGGTATCTCGTAGAATGGAACGTCTCGATCCAGCGCATCTTTGATGCTCTTCATATCTCCAGCCCCATTCGCCTCAGACTGCTCGAGAAAGGATTTCATTGGGATTGAATGTCGGCCAGCAGAAGAGGTCGCCATGTCTGCCAACGACCCAGGTCGCTTACGAAGAGGAGGTAATGGTTGGTATGCGGCTGGAATCTTGGGAAGATGGCCCTTACTTGCCAAAATAACGGCCAAGCAAATTACCGTTTTCCCCAGGCCCATGGTCTCTGCCAGAATACCACCCCGGTTCATTTCGTAGTAGCGCGGCTCTTGTAGAAACGATCCATCTCGAGGCCCGAAGTAGAACCTCTTGCCATTAGGCGAAGTACGAACCTCCAACCTTGGATCAAGCTGCAGCTGTGGCGAAGCTTCCCGTTGCAGCATCAAGCTCGCCGACCGTGTCTGATACGCGTATAATCTGGTCTTGAGCCCCGGTAGAGCCTGTTCACCATGCTCCGACCATTCTGAGACTGCCGCAGAATCTAGTACGTCTTGTACGGCGGCACGTGTATAGCGACACTTGATCTTCCCCACGTCGGGCGCAGGCGATGGTAGCTTGTTGAAAAGGTAGTATAGCGAGAAAGGTTCTACATGAGCCCAGGGATCAAAGTAACGCGTCTCATTAGGATTTGAGTATCCATTCCAAGCACTCGGTGAGATGTCAATTTGTTGGAGCAGTGTCCGCAGAGCGTTCTTCAAGCTCTTGCTGTTACGGTCAATCGTACGACGAGCCCAGTCTTCTGGCAAAAGATAGACGCGAAGAAGGCCGTGGTGAGACGCATTACCAGGCGTTCGTCTACGCGCGAATATCCGAATCCATTGAGCTTCAAGCAGTCGTGATGCTTCAATACCGATGCTGGCCTTGATCTCGTCGGGAAGCTCTTGTTGCAGTAACTCGACCCAACCACCACTCGATGGTGAGATTGAACTAAAGTCGAATGCGTGCTTGAAGTGAAGGCAGCCGAGGGCGATGTAGCGATCCATATTCTGTGCACCAGTCTCAACACACTCCACGTTTTCGGGAGCTGACAAGGATCCTGTGGTGGCGAGCGTAGATGATCCGGTAGCAGCAGAGGCTCGCGCTGAAGATGAAGATATAGATATAGCATCGTCACGGTCGTTCATTTGCTGATCAGTTGAATTGTCCATGTTCTTGCGTGCGGCTCGATGATCATAGCTGCTGCTAGTCGCGCCACATGACGTGGGCGACGTGGTTGTTGTAAGCCCGACCATGATAAGCGTTCGTTGTCATCAAATCCAGTGGGTACGGTCGTACAGCCCGAGCACTGTAGGACAAAAGTTTAAGTCGATAATGGTAGGTGGTTGCAGGTGAGACGGGGGGCGACTGCCTAGATGCCAAGTAAATGACCTTCGCGTTCCGCGCTAACCCAAAGTGTTAGCGCGTCCCTCCAGTATCGCGTCCTGACTTCTTCAGTCCGGGCAATGTTCAGATTGTACCGAATGCACAATATTGTGCCTATCTCGGTGGTTCCTTTCGACGGATGTAGAACGACAGGGTTGCAAACGCGTTATATCCGGTGATAAACATTGCTACGCGTGACGCGACCGTAATTAATCTGCTATATTGCAGACTAGGGTCACGTAATGCGAAGTTGCGATCACATATAAAGAGACCCGGGGACTGAATCGAGTCGCAGTCTTGCATATTGGGGCTTCAGGTTCTTCTTCGCGATGTTGTCGTTCTTCGCTCAAATCTTGTTGGTAGCATCGGGCGCACTGGCTGCGCCGGTTGAGAATGCTCAGAGCGCCGCAGCAACCGTAGGCAAAATACGTGGCGTTCGCGACCCAATTTACCATCTATACTTGCAAGCAAGCGCTAAGAATGGTATGCTGATTTCCTTTTCTTGACATTCAACTTTACTACTTTTTCAGAAACTTGTTAATAACACGTATAGCATCGATCCCTGTGCTGGGACCCGAAACCGCAGCTGACGAATTTACCATCGGCGGCACCATTCGATCGAAAAAGACAAGCCAGTATCTGAACATCGCGACCGCATCGACAAGCTACAAGCCGTTGGTATGGGGAGCCACTGGGGAGACTACGGCGTGGGGATTGGAGGGTGATACTATCATTACTGTGCAGAGCAGTAGCTATGGGCGACGTAAGTACTCAGGAAGGAGGCATGTTCGGCTCATTGTCGGCGGTGCTAACACGCAGCCTAGAGCTGAACTTCCTAGTATGCAAATCGGCTGAAGCGAGTTACTACGATCTGTACTTACAGACGGGGAGCGATACGCCGAGTGGAAGGACATGCAGCAATTACCAGACGATCCATCTACCGTGTCTGTGTTAGAGGTTACGGATGGCCGATGGCTGTGTATGCAAGTTGCTAGGGATGACAACCGCGCCGTAGAAAACCATGGAGTTAACGGAAAGTTTGTCAAGGCTTGGTTCAATCAGTAATCAAGAATGCTGAGCTGGTTCATGCAGGTGTGGTGTAGTGAACATCCGCAGGCAGACAGCGAAATCGAGAGAGCGTGGCCGCGGCAGTGTTAGCCCTATCCGGAATAGCGTCTTTGGTGCCGCACGATGCCCGCAGGTGGCCGGGACATCTGGATCCACCGATGATTAGTGACGTATCGACCTTGTTAACTCCGAACAGCGAAGCTCTTTCGATGATGATTAATGGGACAGTGTGGGGAAGGTACCCTATATTGTCACTCCCCTCTTCCTCCCACCAAACACCGATCAATTGAAGCACACAAAGAATCATGTCATACAGCAGAGTAGGAGTCGTCACCGGCGCGAACAAGGTACCTACACACGTCCACAGCCTCTTCGGGAGTAGCAAACTAACATTGACAGGGCATCGGACGCGCCATCGTGCAGCAGCTCGCTCTGCAGTACCCCAAGTCGCCGCTCAACAACGGACCCTTTCTGATCTATCTGACGGCTCGCGACCAGGGTAGAGGAGAAGCTGCCGTTAAGGATTTGGAGCAAGATGCGGCATTGAAGCAAGCCAAGGCATTGAAGGCCGACGGCGGTCTCTCTGAGATCAAGTTCCATCTGCTCGACATCACAAGCAGCAGCAGCATCAAGACCCTTGCGGACCACTTGAAGCAAGCTCATGGGGACGGCATTGACTTTGTCATCAACAACGCTGGTATCGCGTTGGACGGCTTCAGTAAGTATCTCCTCCCAATGTACAATCCGCCGTCCCTAACATGATTAGATGCCGACCTCGTCAAAAAAACCCTCGACTGCAACTACTACAAGACGCTCGAGGCGTGCCACACCTTCCTCCCCCTCCTCAAGCCCACCGGTCGCATCGTGAACCTCGGCAGCATGGCTGGCAAGCTCAACAAATACTCCGAAGAAGTTCGCAACCGCTTCCTCGCCTCCAAGACCGAAGAAGATGTCACAAGCATCATGAAGGACTTTGTTGCTGCTGTCGAAGCTGGTAAGGAGAAGGACGCTGGCTTCCCTAGTGCCGGGTATGCTGTGAGCAAGGCAGGATTAATTGGCGGCACACGGGCGCTGGCCAGACAAGAGAAGGAGAAGGGAAGCAAGGTATTGATCAATACCTGCTGCCCAGGTTATGTCAACACAGACATGACAAAGGGTAAGCAAACCTTTCCTCGTGTGCACCATGTGAGACATGTACTGACTCTATACACCAAATCTAGGCAACGGAACGAGGACTGTAGAAGAAGGCGCTCAAACCCCCGTAATGCTCGCGATCCACGACATCCAGAACAAAACAGGTGCTTTCTGGCAGTACGAGAAGGAGATCGACTGGGTTGGTTAGAAGTGCAGAGGAGCAAAATAAAACGTCTACTACAAGATTAGTCTCGATGATGGTCTCACACGTATTTGTGACTAACGAATTACGCGCTTACATGCAGGCCATGCAGACCAGAGTTCTTTGTCAATCCACGTTATGCGCTACCGAAGACGCCCGTTCACATACGTACCTTGTCATATAGCACCCGCATATGATCCGAAGGCGAGATCTTACATCTGCCCCCACACGTCACATATCACACCGCATGTAAACGCCGAGATCGGTTTCACATAAATACTGCGTCTATGCAAACAAGTACCTCATTCCAACCATGTCCACCTTGCCCATAGTCGCCTAGAAACTAGAAAAGCCAATCTAAGCAAGGTTCCTCTGCTTGCAACCTTTTCAACATGCACCTTACTACTCTTACGTTCCTTTCAACTTTCGCTATCTCAGCAACTGCGGCGCCCACTACACCTGGGCCTCCCATTTGCGGCACCATCTACCTACAAGGCGGCAAGACCCAAGTTATCTATGGTGACGCTTGCTATGGAATCACGGGAAAAGCGCTATCAGCAACGGTGTCTGAGGCATGTGGATGCGACTTTTCGCAGTAGGTTCTGTTGCGTAGAAGATGTGGCAAGGTATACTGGGCTAACGGGAATGTAGGTGGGATACATGTGATGCGGGGAAGTTGAAAGACAGAAGTATCACCGGAGTGCCTATCACGGAGGCGAAGGGGTATTGGTGCAATCTGCATTAGAATGAAGCTTGTGGTGCACAGAGACGAGTCTGTCTTCAGTTGTAATGTCTTCGTGAATTCATAGCTTTTATGCACAAGAGGCTCATACCCATAGGATTGGTTGCCTACTACATCTCTTTTGCAGTTTGACGAACATTAGAGTAGGACACTGCAAATACCATCAGGGTTCAGCATGTCGCAGAGACAAAATCCCCATGACACCAATTCTCTCGTAATCCCTCATGCCATCTCAGACCTTGTCCCCGGATCCAATAAATATCTCCGCCTTCCTTCGATATGCCGTGCATCTAGCGTCCGCAGTCTTCTTTACCGAGGATGTGGGAAAGTGACGACCATTGGTTTTTGAGTTGCTCGAGCATCTCTTGAGCTTTCTCGTTCTTCTCCACCCTCTCTTTCTGCAGCGCTTATTCGGCTTCCAGTTGATAGATTTGGTGTTCGTGTGCCTTCAAGGTGCTATCTGCAGCTTGGTATGTGTCGCCAATGTTTTTCCAGCCGCGGTAGTAGTAATCAGCGTCGCGTTCCGCTTTATGAAGTCGACTCTTCGTCGTTTCTAGCTCGTTCTCGGCCGCTTCGAGTTTGTCCTTGGTGGTCTGTCCAAGATCTTCCATCGTATCCTCGAACATGGTGTATAGCTTTTCCTGTGCGTTGTTGGAACCCTGGAGTTGTTGCTTCTGCGTGGTCAGGTCAGTCATCTTATCTGGCAGTGAGAGTTCTGGTTGAGATACGTACCGTTACTCGCAGACGATCGGCTGGCGTAGTCGCAAGCCTGCTTCTAGCATTGCCTGAGACGCGTGCGGTCGCTTTCGTCGGCGCCATATCGGTATTGTAGGGTCAAATCAAGTCTTTGTGGTGGGGCTTGATGCTGCAAGGTGATCGTAGTAGTATGACCCCGCGAACTGAGCGAGGAAGAGGTAGCAATTTGTGTTTGGTGGCACTTGGCAAGTAAAGCTAGCTGCCACTTGAGTAAGCGCAGGTGAAGGTGACGAGAACACCGTAGGTCACCGACCGGAAACGTGGGGTGGACTGAGAGGAATAGCCGGTCAAACGAAAGTGAAGGTGAAGGTGAAAATAGCTCCAAATGTAGAGATCGAGGAGCGATGAGATATTATGGTTTACGGATGGATAGCGTATGTTGAAGAAAGCGAACAAGATGCGCATGTACTCTACCACAGACACCCTTTAGTTACATCGCGAGACTGGCACATAAGTGCAACATTTATCATATAGTTCATACTAGACATCACCATGGCGTTTCTTGAGAGGTTGGTCCTCCCAGAGGTGCCAATGCATAGGCGGACGGATTGTAGCCTGGAAAGCCTTCGCAAGCCAGACCCACAGGCATACCTGGATATGTCAGTGCGAGCTCAGAAGTCTACGTAGGATTACTTACATTGCTGCAACACGATCGGGCTTAAGAGCATGACACCATGGCAACGAGACCGTGGTGGTGACAGAGGAACTCCCAGCCTTGGTAGACAAGAAGGGCAATCGAGGGTCCCGGCGCGCTAGCCTCATTAGCACTGTCCCCCACCACCAAAGCTCACGATGCCTCAAGCCCGTCGCAACGCTCGTCCATCTGGAGTATTTTCGCATCGCACACGAGCATGTGTTGCATCAGTGATAGTCGATATTGCAAGTCGCCGGGACTGTAGCCGAAGGGCTGCCAGAGGGCGAGTCATGGCGGATGACGCTGCGGGGAAAGAGCCTGTCAGGCACTGTTGGATATTGTTCTCCGCATAAGCATCCTCAGCCCAGGCTGTTCCAAGCAGCAGGTACTTGCATGCATCAGCACAGCTGGCTAGCCAATGCCAGCATTCTAAGGAGATGCGGGCTGGTTCAGATGCGGTAGTATAGATCTAAGATACAAATACCAGGATGCGGCCCTCACGCGTCGCGTTATTGCTTCCAGTCTTACACTGCGCATACCTTTGGATACTCTCTATTGACGTACAACTCATATCTAGATCATGGGAAATCACGCGTTGATTTATGGTGCTTCTGGCATCTCGGGATGGGCCATCGTCAATGCCATCTTGAACGGATACCCTTCCAAGGATGCTTTCTCCAGAGTTACAGCTATGGTCAATCGGCCGCTGACACGTGAGATGGCTCTCTGGCCTGACGACCCAAGACTGCAAATCGTGTCCGGTGTCGATCTGGTCAAGGGGACACAAGAAGAGCTCGAGAAGCAGATCAAAGAAAAGGTCAAAGATGTTGAGACCGTCACTCAAGTGTACTTCTATTGTAAGTAACAACTGATAGAAGGAATCATAGGATCTGACATGACCGAGCATACAAGCAGATCGATGAACCAGAAGCCGAGTGCAAGACCAACGAAGCAATGTTGGAGCGCGCCGTGACTGCGATTGATCACTTGTCCTCCAAACTATCATACGTACTGCTTCCGACGGGAACCAAGATCTACGGATGCCAGATGTTAGACAAGTTCCCATTCGCGAACGACCTACCGCTCAAGGAAACGCTTCCACCGATCCCCGAACCGTACCTTTCCCAGCTTTTCTATTACAACCAGATTGATTGCTTAAAACGCATCTCCAAAGGAAAGAATTGGAGCTGGTGCGAGGTCCGGCCAGACAACATCATCGGTTTCGTGCCGAATAATAACGCATACTGCCTTGCGCAAACACTGGCATTGTACCTCTCGCTATATCGATCTGTTGAAGGCGAAGGCGCAAAGTGTGCATTCCCTGGTACTGAGAAGTCGTGGGTGAACAAGTACAATGAATCTCCACAAGATATGGTTGCGCACTTTTCCATCCACGCATCTTTAAACCCGGAGAAAACCGCATCGCAGAGCTTCAATGTGGGTGGTCAGGAAGACAGCTGGAGCGGCAAGTGGCCGGTCATTTGTGATTACTTCGGTCTGAAGGGTACGGGACCTGAAGAGGGCTCACCACAGCCTGGCGCGTACATTGACGCGCACAAGAAGCAGTGGGAGGAGCTGGAGAAGAAGCAGAATCTTAAGAAGGGAAGCGTCGATAGCGATATCACGCATCCCGGATTTCAGGTATGTATGATATCTGGTTGCGCCGTGTTCGCATGCAGTAGCTGACCAGTATTAGTATTTCATCATGACGATGTTCGATTTCGACCGCCAGATGAGTATGGAAGCTTCGCACAAGGTGGGCTTCACAGAGGAGATTGGAACGAAAGAGACGTGGACGACTGCGTTCGATCGCATGAGGAAAGCGAAAGTGATACCCTGATGCGTGAAGGATGCGTGAAGGAAACCTTCGAAGAGTGTGCTATGAGTATTTAGGGGCTTAAAGAGTCCGGCATGTGGGCCCTTCCACTCGTGGCTGCCCGGGCCCCCGCGCCATCTCCATTGGCGAACACAACTTGGAGTTTCAATATATTCCTGTTTGATATGCGCGACTCTCAGCCAAAGTCTCACTGCTTATAAATAGCGCAAGGTCGGTCAATTGCTAGAGCTATGACGCTAGCCGTCGGTCTCAGTTGCACTCCTGTTTGCTGCGCCCCCACAATGCCATTGAAGCAGCACCACCTGGGCGACTGATGAACAGTCTCGATATCCTCCGATGCTCCCATCTGCGGGAGGTCCGCGAAGCAAGCTGGTTCTGAGGGGCCTGGGCGTAGTGGCCTTTTTCTGCATAGGTGCGTCGCGTCAGTGTTCCAAGGTTCCGGGCGCGTTAGACTCAACTACAGTTGTCGCACTGGCACTCCGAGATGCTGCCCATGTTGGACACCTGGGTCTTCATTTTATGGTGCTAACATCTCCATAGTAATCCTGCTGCTGATGTCAAGCTTCCCCCACAAACGACCGGGCGCGAACCTCAACCTCCCACTACGCATACTCCCCCTCGGCGACTCGATAACTTGGGGTGGCCAGCCGGGTGCAGACAATGGCACAGATGGATATCGCGCGCAATTGATCCACGCGCTTATACGTGCGCGCTACGCGTCGGTGAACTTTGTCGGCACGCAGCGCTCTGGACTCATGCCCAACAATGACAACGAGGGGCATCCAGGGGCCACAATCAGCGAGCTTCAGGGCCTGATGAAAGCTGGACTTCAGATGCGACCGAATGTCGTCTTATTGCATATTGGCACGAACGATATGGCTCGTCCTGAAAGCCCAGAAGAGAAGTGGGCAGATGCGCCGAAGCGCTTAGCAGCGCTGTTGGACGACGTGCTGGACATGTGCCCGGACGCTGCGGTGCTGGTCGCGAAGATCATACAGGGAGCGGATATACAGGCGCAGGAAAACATCAAGAGGTTCAATGATGCCGTGCCTGCGGTTGCGAAGAAGAAGCTTGATCAGGGCTTCAAGGTTGCGGCCGTCGATCACAGCGTCGTCCTACCCGAGGAGTTAGTTGACGGGCTACATCCGTGGGTGTTCTGGTTACCTGTGGCGTAGAACCACGTTCGCTAATCGAATTAGGTCCTATTCCGGGTACTTTCACATGGGAAACATCTGGTTCGATGCTATCAAAGCTGCCAGTGGCCTAGGGGTTATAACACCGCCCGTCGCACCACAAGAAACATGACCCGCGCGTGTCGCACCCATCTATAGCCAACTAGTTGTCAAAACTACCACATCGAGCTTCAGGACAAACAATCTCCCTTGAAAGTGGTGACGACGCAGAATGCCTCTCAGGTTGCACGGATATCTCACATGCGAGCTTGATACCTAGGTACCCACGAAGCTGTCAAGATTGTCAGACCGAGCACAACAGAAGAACGAGTGCGTGTGGCACTGTGACCACGCTATAGGCGACCACGTCCGGACCAGTCTTCATCGATACAATGCAACTCGTCTTGCTTACTGTGCTACGCTCACGATTCAAGCTTGATCATGTCATTGCTGTGCGCGAGTCGCATGCATCGGCCATACGCTCATTCGCTAGCTCCGACTGTGGAAACCTGCGCGGGGTCAACATGCGGGCAGGCGGGGCGCCCACGCTGCATCACGCTAAAGCATATCCAACCCCAAGCATGGAAGTTTGCCCTCCTCACAGAAGGCGTGATCATTTTTTGCATGTCGGCAATATCTGCAAAGACGCCTCAGTGGAATGACAGATGCTGTGAAACACGACAATCTGGTTTCTGGGGCCTCGCGGTTAGTCGGCTAGAATTGTCAGACGCTTTTGGCAAGTCTTCTTGACAGCTCTGCATATATGGCGTCGGATATGCTTTGGCGAGCTGCTGCCGCTATGGCAGCGACGGATGACTACGCGTTGTAGTGCATGTAGCGTCATGGTCACAGGGATCCGTCGGCTTTGGTATATCTCAACCGTCGTGCTGTTCGTGTCCCGTTCAGCCTTGCTGCATTTGGGTCGGCTTGGTTGTTGCTTTCTGTTCTTTCCGACTCTTCGTTACAAGAACACTGAATAGAGACCGAACCTCACCATGGGTTTCGTAGACGAGGATCGCGTTCGCCTGATCGCGATCTGGGCACCCGCTGCAGTACGTCTTTCAGCTCTCCTCTTGACATTGATCTGATAAGTCCAGTTCGTCGCATACGTAGTCTTGACAGCAATCTACAACCTCACACTTCACCCTCTTGCCAAATATCCTGGCCCGCTGTTATGGCGCATCTCGCCCATTCCCTCGATAATCTCCCTGTTACGCGGTCGCATCGCCTTCGACTACAAGGTCCACCACGACAAATATGGGCCCGTAGTGCGCGTCATGCCCAATGAACTTTCCTTCAACACAGCAAAAGCATGGGACGATATTTACGGACATCGAGTTGGGCTTGCGAACATGGACAAAGATCCTATCCACGTCGGTGCTGTGGAAGCTATTCCAGGCGCGACGAATTTGACCATGGCTCCTGATATCCACCATGCAAGGCAGAGGAGAGCGCTAGCGCATGCGTTCAGCAAGCAAGCTCTGCTCGAACAGCAGTATATCTTGAAGGGATATGTAAACTTGTTTGTGGACAGGCTGAGGGAAAAGGCGCATAAGGGGGAGGCAGCGAATATGGTTTCGTGGTTCAACTTTTGCACCTTTGACATCATTGGCGATCTCAGTTTTGGCGAACCGTTCGGATGTCTACGCGAAGGTACGTTCTACGCACAAAACGATAAACGCAACATCTCTATTGAACCCATACTAACACTCATGTTTCAGGCGAAGGTTCTGAGTCCGCAAACTGGGTAGTCCTAATCTACGAAGCCATCAAGTCCGGCGCAATCGAACAAGCAACTCGCCGCTTTGCTAAGCCCGGGTCGCTCGCACAGAAATTCCTCATGTGGTGCATACCCACTGTCGTCCGCGAACGCCGTTTCCGCCATCTGCGCAACTCGACCGAGAAGACTGTGAAGAGACTGAACCAGAAAGACAACGATCACCGCGACTTCATCTGGTACATTCTGAAACAGCGAGAGAAGAAGAACGAGGTCAGCGACGACGAGGTGATCATGAACGCAGCTTTGTTCATCGTGGCGGGCAGTGAAACTACTGCAACGGAGCTCTGTGGACTGACGAACTACCTCTTGAGAAATCCGGTAATCTTCAAGAAGTTGAAAGACGAGTTGAGAAGCGCGGTCAAGACTGAAGAGGACATCAACATGGACGTCTTGGGTAGCCTACCATACATGAACGCTTGCATCGAGGAGGGCCTTCGCATCTTCCCTCCAGTACCCGTCGGCCTCCTCCGCACAGTACCCAAAGGCGGTTCACTAATCGACGGCCACGCCGTACCCGAAAACACCTCAGTCTGCGTCAGTTCCTGGAGCGCATCGCACTCAGCTGCCAACTTCGCGCAACCGGACACTTTCATCCCCGAACGCTTCCTCGACACCCCAGAGTCCAAAGCACAATTTGCTGGCGACTCCAAGAAAGCGGCGCAACCCTTCTCGACTGGACCAAGAGGATGCATTGGCAGAAATCTGACGTATGTCGAGTTGAGGCTGATTCTGGGTGCGTTTTTGTGGAACTTTGATGTTGAGTTTGCGGATAGAGCGCCGCTTTGGGATCCGAAGGATGAGTTCAAGGGGCTGAAGGCGTACAATACTTGGGAGAAGAGTCCGTTGATGGTTAAATTGACGGATGTGAGGAAGACGCCTGCTTAGAGGGTTTGGCATGCGGCAGCGCAACAACGTCTTGTGGTAGTATACGGGTCTCTATATTAGATAGGAAGACCTAAGCTTCGTGCTACTCCATCTTGTTCCTGATTGTCCATGAGAAGTTCTCTTGAATGAGAAGTATCGTCAATGCAAGAACCACCAGCCCGGGGGATTATCCACTCAGCGTGTCCACGTGACCTCGTGATAGCGCGACGCGGGGCCCGGGGCTGGCTTAGCTCCGAATCTCCTACGTCAGCGTTCACAATCGGCAGCAGCTTGACATCAACAGTCACCACCGATGCACAGACACCCGATTTCTCTACTTGCAAAACAATTACCGACCTCTGCTAAACCCAGTTACCGAGCCATACCGCGACTGCGCATTTCGACTACACAGCACAGCCTTCTCCCACGCACCTTCCACACCCGCGCACCACTCTGCGCAGCCTACAACATGCCGCAAGATCCAAAGATCGTCAAAGTAGAGGTAAGTTCAAACTGTACGATATAAATGTTATATGTGACTGACTGCGTACGTCTACTTCTATAGCCACTTCCTGCTAGCGAGGCAAAGTGGATCGAGTTCCAGAAGATCTCATGGCAGGATCAAACTGGCAAAGACCGCGTATGGGAAGCCGCGGCACGCAAGACTCGAGGCAAGGCAGGCGTCGACGCCGTCGCCATCACCACAATCATCCGCCACCCCTCGCGGCCGCCTTCCACCATCATCATCCTGCAGTACCGCCCGCCCGTCAATGCCGTCTGCGTCGAGCTTCCCGCCGGTCTAGTTGACGAGAAGGAGTCACCTAGCGAGGCCAGCGTACGAGAGCTACACGAGGAGACTGGATACAAGGGCAAGCTAGCATTCATCAGCCCCACCATCGTCTCCGATCCTGGTCTAAGCACTGCGAATATGCAATTAGCCATGGTTGAAGTCAACTTGAAGGAAGGCGACGCGGAGCCCGAGCAGGCGCTGGATGATGGCGAGTTCATCGAGAGGGTCGTGGTGCCAATCGACGAGCTGTACGACCGCTTGGTCAAGTACGATCAAGAGGGCAAGACAGTAGATGCGAGGCTTTGGCATTGGGCTGCGGGATGGAACGCCGCGAAGACGATGTTGTGATAGAGCCTGCCTGGGCCTGGGCGCAGTCCCGTCACCAACTCCATCGATGACTTCCTCGTGGCGCGATGTTATGTGCAGGTAAACGATCCCCTCAAGCGCGTCATCAGCGGTCTGACCTTCGAGGCTTCATGGTCACATCAAGGCGCGGTATTGCCACGGGGCTGGTAACTTGCTCACAGATTACGCCGCTTGTGGGTAATATCAAACGAACACCCAATATTCGAGACCACTTGGCACCCGTGATCAAAGAACGTGCTCTTTACCTAACTCAAAATGGCCTTTATCGCCTTTCGTTTTCTGCTCACTCGTTTCCGCGACGAACGCTCTCGGTTCCTTGGCTTCTTTTCGTCATTCCGCCAGCTAACACCGCCTCCTGGTTCACACGTGCGATTATCGCAAGAGTCACCTGGGTCTTTGGTCGCTATGACGGTAAGAGCGCGCTGTAACAGTGCCAGTAGCGTGCACTCAATGGCGCATATAAGCTGCGAACTTCTTCGTTCCTTCTCTTCTACACCAGCTCCGACTTCCCTGACCAGTGATTTCTCCCGAAAGCTATTCCTATATACAGTACTCGATCTTATCTCTCTTTCTCACATATCAGATCTCCTAGATCCTCTCCGATCTACCTATCATCGACACGATGCATTCCTCCAGTTACTTCACTGGTAAGTTGCCCCATGAAGTCTTCAAGCTCGACTGATCGTGGATAGTTGCACTCAGCTTCCTTACTGTGTTTACCAACGCCGCTCCGACTGATTTCAAGACCCAAGACATGTCCAAGGACTGGACCCATGTCTTCTCCCCTGAGCACTTCATGTCCTCACTGATCGAGCCCGGCTCCTCGATGGCGTCTATATCCGTGCCTAGTTGGATCGGCATGGGTGACCCAGACATTCCTCAGATTCGAGGTGAACTTCGGAACCACTGTCCCTTCTCAGTCTGGGCTCGTCTATCTATCGCTGCCAACAACTCCTTTGGGGTGCCCTGCGACCATGCTGGGGAGACCCAGATGGTGGAAGTACTACCAGGCCATAGGTACAAGGCGCCCTTCCCGTGTCAGCTGAACCAGTGTGGTCACAACAGTACGTATTTCCTATTTCATGTCCTAATCTTCCTCATTACCTGCAATTGCTTCTGCTAATACACACCCAGTCAAGGTCGCCTACCATCCCGAGGATCGCAACGTCTACCAGATCGAGTACTCCCTGGACCCCCATGACGGCCGTATGTGGTATAATCTCTCTGCCGAGGACGGTGCGCCATTCCAGGATGTTGAGCGCTACCTCGCTGGCTTCGGCCCCACATGTCCTTTCGTTCACTGCGCGCCTGGCCAGTACGGTAAAGATCCGGTCCATGGATGCGACTGGCCGATCCAGCCTGTCTGCGCTACTATCGGTAGCGTTGTCGGAGTGCTTTGTGGTAGGCTGGAGTAGGTTGGCGGGTATGACGGTCGTTGTTGACTTGGAGCCGAGGATATTGATTGAGTGTTCGCGAACTATATAGACTTGGATATCAGAGGGCTTTTGTATGGCATTTGGCAAATGCGCAACATGAGCTAGATAGATATGCTGCGAGACACTCCGGCGTTCATCTATTAATCATCAATAACCTATCACCATGCACATCTTCGTTGTCCTGCACTCACAGTGATCATTGAGTCCATTGCTGCATTTTTTGTGGTGGAGAAGCTTGCCACGTATAGGCTGTACCAAGCATATGGAGTTAACCACAAAGTCAAAGACACCTCATGCATGACCTGTCCAACCGCCGAAATGACTTGGGAACGACAAAAGTGCTCGGTCCTTCAATTGCTCAACCCACTGAATAGTACTCCCCATCGGATCTCTTGGGACGGCAGTCTCATACTCTCATCTTGCTCGGCTCGAATGAAAACAATACATAGATCATGCGTTTCATTCCACACTTCCTCCGCAATTAGTTAGAAACGCCTCATCGATGCCAGCGTGTTTGCACCGCCTGAACTCATCTACATGAGCTCCTTGACTGACAGTTTGACCGCTGATGTATCTAGACCGCCTATCGAACACTGCATGTCCTGATCCAACTCCAAACACTCGGTCGCTCACGTCTTTGGTTCTGAGCTTGGCATCGTCTCCGCATCTCGACCGGTGCTGCTCAAGATGCGCGGCTAAGAAAGGAGATGAAGAGATGACATGAGGCACATAAAGCGCTCTTGCTACTACTCAGAATGATAAGAGTGCGCTTTTGACTCAGACTACGGTCTGGTCCTGATTAGGTCACCCACCTTCCTCACCTTCACCTTGCAAAACTTGGACTGCATCTTTTGGGAAATAGCGCCCCTCCGCTCCTTCCTCACCTTCACCTCTCACTTCGAAGCAATCTTGCGAGTAAAACCGCCCCTCCATCCAAAACAATCTTTCTCTCTCCAACCCCATCCAGCGTCAAGCAAAACACAAACATACAACTTCTCGTCAACCCCCAAAAGCTCACCATCATGTACATCCTCGCCGTTCTTTTCCTGACCCTCGTCTCGGTTCTTTCCCTCACCAACGCGACCGTCATTCCCAACTTCCCTGACAGCGCTCCTTCCATCCACCTGGTCCTCAACAACAACTGCGGCTTCGATGTCTGGGTCCGCCAGGGCGTCGCCGCTGAACCCGGGTCGCGCATGGGCCAGGGCGAGAACTGCGGTCCGATGAGTGCCAAGGACACAGAGGAAGTCAAGGTCAGCGCGGGCCAGAAGTTCATCACGCCTGTGCCTATTCTTGAGGATAGCTGTGGACACTCTGGTAAGTGAAAATTGCGGAGCTGAGAGACAGTTTCGATGAGAAGTATCGCTAATTCATGGGAATAGTCAAGGTCGCCCGCAAGCCAGCGGATTGGCAGACGGTCTATCAATACCAGATGACTTGGGCTAAGGAAGATCACAAGATCTGGTAAGTTAGTTTTTCTCCCTTCTTCTTCTCACCAAGAACTGTCTTTCCCACACCTTGACTGCCTCTTTGTACCGACCTCAAGCCTTCCCAAATTTGATGCTAATACCTCTGCAGGTACCAACTTTCTTGCATGAACGGAAACCCTTTCACCGACGTCGTCCGCCAGATCGGTGGTCCCTACGACTCCACCTGCCCGCTCTTCCGCTGCGAGGCTGGTAACAATGGTAGCCAGTGCGATTACCCCCTCATGGCCAACTGCGCTACTGTCGGCGACGTCGTGGGTTACCTCTGCTAGATCGAGCAGATGACGGAGAAGACCTGAGGAAGAGAAGGCTCCGGCAGAGAACAAAAGCACTGCATTTGTGTGTGTACATACGGGACATCATGAAGATGGTGCTGAATGGTACACGGAGATTCGACTGAATTAGCCATGAGCTCTTATGAGTCATGGTCTTCTTGTCTGGATCTTTAGTTTACTGAACCCAATTGATCTATCTCGCCCTGACTCTTCTCCTTTCTGCTGTCCAAGTCTCTTCAACCACATGCATGCATGCCCTAGTTGTTCGCCGTCTTATCGTTGTAATAATGCACAGTCTGATCAGCGCACCCACTCGGCGTCTGATACAAGTAATTCCCCAAATTGATATACAACTTCTGCCCAGTACACACATACCACGCACTCTTATTCGGCCGATTAACACCCGCAACACTCCACTGCAGATCATCGCCACCCCACGCAAACGTACCGTACGTGTTCTTGCTCTCCGAGAAACTGACAGCGAGAGACATGCCGTTGATGGAGCGCTCTTCAGACACTACAGCATAGAGAAGCTTGACAGGCTCGCCGGGCGCGGAGACGAGTTGGACCAGCTGGCCGCTGACGACCTGGAACTGGCCTGCTGTTGTGTAGTCGCCGAGGAGGGCGGGGCCGGTCGAGTAGAGGGGGTTCGTTTGGAAGTATTTGTGGAAGTTGGGGGCTGCGACTCCGCGGATCCAGTAGTAGCCGCTTTGGAGTGTCTTGCCTGGGCCGGTGCCGGCGGGGGTGCTGGTGGTGGTTGGTGCACTTGGTGAGACTGTTGTTGATGTTGGTATCGGCACGGTTGAGAGTGTAGACGCAGATGTAGGTGCAGGTGCAGGCGCAGCACCAGGTTGGCATTGAGAGTAGTAGTCACTGAAGAGTCAGCACCGGTGCACGAGGCATTAATGGGATTCAGCTTCTTACTTGATCTTGACGCAGCCAGCACTTGAGCTGCATGCTGTCTCTCCAGACCAGTTCGTACCACCACCTAGTCTTCCATTAGTGAATGAGCTCGAGCTGCTTTGTGGTGAGCATACACTGCTGCCAATCCCCTACAGCCGCATGAGTAGTGCTCGCTAGCAGGGCCAGCAGAGTCGTGATCGAGCAACGCATGATGAGGCAAGGTATGGCAACTGCTTCAGATGGATAGCTAACTGTTCGTCTTCTCGGGAATAGACCATATTGATGTACAATCCCGCTACCATATATCTTCCATCCTCATTCCAGAACGCTACCACATGATGCCAGATATAGTGCTCGTGCTGGATATGATTCGGACCGTGGTCGCCGCGTAAAGTGGTTAAAGTACCCTAGGGCGACAAGCGAGCACCAAAACCCGGGAGCGAGGCTGAACTTGCAATATGCTTGTGCGACGCCAAATTGCTTAATCAATATACTGGTGTCCAAGTGGCTAACACCCGATCCTTGTGACTGCAGCCGATGCAGGGATTGCCGACCGAGCCTGTGAATCCGGGTACAGCTCATATCGCGTACAACAGAGGCTTGCTCGGAAGTCCTTCTCGAAGTCTGAACAGTCGGTCTGGTCGCCCTCCTAAAGTCTGAGCGCGAAGTGTGGCAGTATGATATCCCATTGTTTCGCGACAGTGCGACACGGACAATCCATCCAGTCACCGGCTCGCGCGTATGATATGAGGCTCGTCGCGTGTGCGTAGGCTTGCTCTTGTTCGTTGCGCGATCGTTCGAAGGCTATGCGTGTACCACGAGTGGCCATCCCGGCGTTTAGACCTGGACAAAAGCATCTGCATCATCTTCCTCTCCTCAGTCCACCTCAGCGACGCCACTAATAGGCTCCGGTCGCGACGAAAACACAATCTTGTACTTCACCACCTCCACAATCTCCAACTCCTCATCTTTCGCACCATCCTCGTCCCCCAGACCACTCATCTCCACATCCTCGACATCCATCTTTTCCCTCTTGCGCATGACACCAAGCGGTTTGGGCAGCTTCTTGCACTCGCCCGTCATGCGCTGGCCCTTGCCCACGTACATGTAGACGCGCTTCATCCATTTCGTATCGCTCGGGTCGTTAATAGCGGGATTGTAGTGTGGGAAGACGAGTTTGCCGACTTGTGTGGAGGCCACGGAGGCTGCAGGCGGGGGGAAGTGGATTGTGCCCTGGATTTCGATGAGGGCAAGGCCCGAGGGTGTGTGGAGGAGCTGTGGAAGGGGGTTCTCGGCGCGTGGGGATGTTGCGGAAGCGGAAGGGAGATGGATCGGTACCGACGGCATCGCGGAGAGTTGATCGGGGCTTAGGTGGGAATTGAAGGAGCACCGTGGAGTAGGTGGGGGTTGTGTATTTGTGGTGTTGGGGCAGGATAATCCCCGCCGGCGAAAACTACGCGACGCGCTGAGATGTGGTGGGGCGAGCGCGCGCGATGGGCAGGAATGACGACACCAAGTGCGCAATAGTTTCGTCAAAATTCATCATTATTCATAGATATCTATTATGTACTAGAAGGCAACCACACTGCTCTTGCAGCTATCTAAGCCCTCTTGCCGAAGACCTTGTCGAAGCCAGTCAGGGTAAGCCTGTACTTGACGTTGTCGTTCTTGTACACGCGCTCAACAGCCTCCTTGATGCCCTCTTCGCTGAGCTGGATCTCCTGTACCCAACTCTTGATGTTCTGCTTGGATGCAAGCTGGAACATCTCCTCCATCTCGGGCCTGTTTCCGATGTGGGACGCGCCCATGTAGCAGCCGTTGGGTGCGAAGATCTGGGCGGGCATGGCAGGGAGCGGGTTGTCAGGGAAGCCGACCATGTGGAAGGTACCGTTGACCTTGAGGATGGAGAAGTATTCGGAGAGATCGAACTTGTCAGTCGCATCAGCGGTGTTGATGACGAAGTCGAACTGGAACTTCCATGGCTCAGCCCAGCCCTTGTCCTTGGTGACGATGAAGTCCTTAGCACCCATCTTCATCGCATCCTCCTTCTTGTTGGGAGAGTGCGAGATGACGTAGGTGTCGGCGCCCATAGCTACGGACCAAAGGACACCGAAGTGACCAAGTCCTCCAAGTCCGATGATACCGACCTTCTTGCCGGGGCCAGCTCCTAACCTCTTCAAAGGCGAGTATGTGGTGAGACCAGCGCACAGCATGGGCGCTGCGAGGGCAGTGTCGAGGTTGTCTGGGATCTTGAAGACGAAGTACTCGTGGCCACGGATATGGCTGGAGTATCCACCCTGTGCGACGGTGCCGTCGTTGTGCTTAGCACCGTATGTGTCGACTTGGTTGGGGCAGTAGTTCTCCTGGTCGTTCTTGCATTGGTCGCAAGTAAGGTCGGCGCCAATCTGAGCACCAATACCGGCGCGGTCTCCAACCTTGACCCTGGTGACCTTGTCGCCGACCTTGACGACCTTGCCGATAACCTCGTGTCCTACGCAGAGGGGTAGAGGGAGTTCCTCGCCCCATCCTCCAGTGATGGTGTGGACATCTGAAGCGCAGACACCGCACGCGTCAATGGCAATGTCGACGTCGTACTCCTCAAACTTCTTGAGAGGAAGCTGGGAAATTGTTAGTACAGCTATCAATTGGAAGATTGGATTATTGACTAACCTCCTGGCGCTTGAATGTGCTCCAGTTCTTGATGTCGGTCACCGCGAAGGCGTCGGTAGTCTCTGGGTAAGGCATTGTTGCGTTTGGGTTTGAATTGGAGTATGGGAAATGTTGTTGGGGATGTGAGAGAGATGATGGAGGGGCAGGTGTTGAGGGGCATGCACACGTATTTCAAGCATCGGTCAATCCCCCGCCAGCTGTTAGAGTCGGCCCACGGTCACAATGGCGTCTCGTCCAGTGAGGTCATAACAGTGGACGAGAACGAGAGGGTACCCGCCGTTGAGGCTCCTGCTGCTCCCTGATTGGGCAGGCCTACAGCCACGAGCGCGTTGTCGCTATGGCGCGCATTGTACCTTTTTCTTGACCGTCACTGACGCGTCAATGATCGCGACTTTATCCGTCACATCGGAGTTCTGCCAACGGTCTCGAGGGCTAGATCGCAAACCATGCCCTGTCGCGCTGGCTAATCCACGCTATACGCGTCTGGTCGTTCCGACCGGACCGAGTAACAGGGGGTTCGTCAATGCGCTTGTATAACTCCTGTCGTCTTCGTTACAAGTCCAGATATTGTTTGTAAGAATGTCGCATTCGAGCGCCGGCGAATTCAGCGAAGGCGATGACAGATTTTCCGAGCTCGATCCAAACGGGGAAAGTACGACGACGTAGCTGTTCCGAGTGCCGAGCGTCATGCTTTAGTTGCCGACGTCATAACCCGGGCCTCGCCCCCCTATGCCCTTCATCTCTCATCGGTAGGCATAACTAGAATTTATTTTGCTTTTGTCGGTTCCTGTAGCGTCGACCAATGAATGCGCATCCAGGAGGACAGGCTGCGAGTCCAGGATTCTGTACGTGGGTGCACCAAGCTAGTCCTCAGTGGCACGCGGCTCTTATACCCCTAGGTACTCCCACAACGGCATGTACATGAGCCGAGCTGATATGGATGAGCTCGTCCAGAACTTGGTTCCTCCACTGCAAATCGGTTGGCGTTATCAAGCTTCCGGCCATTTGCCATGCCACCTGGTACCCCGCATCGTGAATGCGGGGTGATGAACCGGAGGCTTACCCTTTTGGGCATTCCGTGATCTTGGGCAGCAGGTGCACACATGCGCTTGCCAGTAGGAACAGACCGAAGCCAACGGACTGACCGAGTCCGGGGAAATGAGCGCGACGTCTGTTTGTCGGCCATGGAAGGAGCCAAACCACTTGCGCCACCTTGACCAAGTACTTCTGTCCTTCTCTTATCCTCCGCCATCTTTCAAGTCACTCTCAAATACGCTTGTGATAGTGTGAACCCGATTCAATCATAATGGCCGCCGCGGCAGATGACAACTCGATGAACGCGCTGCGATTCCATGGGCAACATGATCTGCGATACGAGAGGATTCCGATACCCCAAGTCAAAGCAGGGCAAGTCAAAGTAAAACCGGCATGGGTGGGAATTTGCGGATCAGGTATGGTCCCAGTTGCAGAACTTGAGACAGCGAGACTGACGTTGCTTTATACCTCCACGAATATTTGGGTATGTACTTGAATGACGAACATGCGCTCCATAGCTGAGCACCTAGGTGGCGCGAATCTCTGCCCTACCACGCCCCACCCAATCACCGGCGAAACGGTTCCACTAACCTTCGGCCATGAATTCAGTGGCACGGTAGAGGAAGTTGGCGAGGGTGTTACTGACTACAAAGCCGGTGACAGAGTTGTCATTCAGCCCATCATCTACGACGACACCTGCGGCGCCTGCGAGGAAGGTCTGCAAAATTGCTGCTGGTCCAACGGCTTCATTGGTCTGTCTGGCTGGGGAGGTGGCCTTGCGGATCACATCGTCGTCCCAACCTCTACCCTATATCATCTCCCTGACAATGTTCCACTCGAGATCGGTGCGCTCGTCGAGCCCCTCGCTGTCGGTTGGCACGCAGTCAAGATCAGTCCTTTCAAGAAAGACGACGTCGCATTGGTTTTGGGAGGTGGGCCCATCGGTATATCAACAATCCTAGCCCTGAAGGCGAAAGGCTGCGATCGGATCATCGTCTCAGAAGTGAGCAGAAAGAGACAGGAGTTTGCGAGAAAGTTCGGAGCGCACTACATCATCGACCCCACCAAGGAAGACCTTGCCAAGCGCTGTCGCGAACTCACCGGAGGTAAGGGTGTACATGTAGTCTACGACTGTGCCGGCGTCCAGGCTGCTCTCAACCAGGCCGTACATGCGACCCGCGCTCGAGGCTGCATCGTCAACATTGCCATATGGGAGAAGCCTTGCACCATCTTCACCAACGACTTCAACTTCAAGGAGCGAACCTACATGGGCATTGCAACTTATGAGATTGGCGACTTTCAGGAAGTGATTGATGCACTGAGCAGGGGAGACATGGATCCGAAAGAGATGATCACCCAGAGGATTGCTCTTACCGAAGTTGAAGAGAAGGGCTTTAAGAGCCTCATCAACGACAAGGACAACCAGGTCAAGATTCTGGTGGAGGTTGGTGGAGGCGCATAGATGAATGGCTCGGAAGCTGGCAGATAATTTCCCACGCGACCAAAGTCCCATGAGGAGAGATCTGCAGTCTCTTGATGAGATACAAAATCTCTGATCATTCCATACGGACTTATCACTGCTTGGTTTCTTACTGTCTGAGAGTTACCTCGCCGGTGAGCGGGTGGTGGGCCTAATTTGCCCAAGGTAGCATTACAATCACATTTTCTCAACTCTTCATCATCACTGGGGATTCGAACAAGGCCGAAATAGCGTCTATAGTATGATTTGAATGAGTCCGACACACTCTCGTTATGTGTTGAACTAACAAGAAGCAGCGTTGTTAAATCTAAGAAGCAAAGGGTCTAGCGGTAAAGACTGTGATTTGATATCCACCACTGCCGTTGCCGGCTACCATCTACCGATGTCACCCGCCATGTTCAACCCTATCGACTCCTCATGATCGTCTAGCAGGTGATCTTGTACGAGTTCTTAGGGCCATACGCCTCACAAACACCGACTTCGCCGAACACCTCTGGGGCTTCATCTGTGCAGTCGAAAGATGTGTGCAGATTGACTATCGGCAAAGATTAGCGAAGTCGTATTCCTGGTATAGGAACTTACTCTTGCAGTTGGGGTTAGCAGCTTCGGTAATGATGAGACTCTTGTTGCCGTCGTAGATGCTGATGCACCTGTTGGCGGGGAGGTTGGTTGAGCCCTCAATCAGACATCCGGATGCGGTGCTGCAGGCGGCGCACGTCGAGATCGTGAATGAGAGGGTACCCTGTGTGGCGCTGGATGCGACGAATACAGAAGCGAGGGCAAGGAAGGTAGTTGAGAGCTGCATGTTGAAGATAGTGGGAAGTTTTGGCGTCGAGGAGAGGGATAATTTGTGGATTTAGGAGAAGAATTGGTTGGAGAGAAGATGATTCTCGAGCTCACAGTGAGGCATTCTTATACAAAGCATGAGGTTGTGGATTACATGATCGGGTTATTTTGCCAACCGATAACATCTTACTGATATTATTGCCCTGTGAGAATGCTGATGCTCGCTATGGACCCGTCTCATGACCAAGAACGCGTACGCAGGCACGCTCTGTTAGGCCGTGTTACGGCGGTGACAGCACGAAGAGAGGCTTTGTTGGGCTTTAGTACGATTAAGGATAGACCACGAGGTACACACGGCGAGCTATTGGTGAACGGGCGTATATACAGTAAGCATACACGACTTTTGACTTGCCACTTCAATCTTACATCTCTCTTTTAGCAAGCGTCGGCTCGAGGCGACTAGTCCTGCCCGTGTGTTGGTCTCACTACTCCTTTGTTAGCAGGTAGAAGTATTTTGTGCACGTGAGGTGGCCAGATCGTGGCTGTCATTTCGCGCCACGATCAAAACATCGATCTATTTACCCTCGTGGCAGCCTCCCATGATCACGTCGCAAGAGATTCACAAGTTAATTGCGTGAGAAACGCTCCGTCAATATGAGTAGGCAGGTCTTCGTCGAACCTCATGCGCGCAAACAGATCGGAGACGCCCTGTATTGTAGAAATATATAAACCCGTCCTGTCATGTGTTGAACGAACAGCGAGCAGTGGTAAGAAACGGAGACGCGAGGAACATCGCACGTCGCTGACGGAAAAGCGTGTACTGCAGATACCTCGTAGATATCATATCCCTACTTGAGACATGCCAGGCGGCTTAACATGTGATCTTGAAGCTGTTCGATGGAATCTTGCTTTCGCAAACCCCACCGTTGTCCTTGTGCACCTCCGGTGTTCCTCCGCAGTTGAACTCAGGGTAGAGATTGACTGCACAACACGTTAGCCCGACCTTCGCCAGAAGAGATGCGTCCGCCTTCGTTACCTTGGCAAGACGGGATTGTTGCGTCGTAAGTCTTGATGGTGGTACTTCCATTCCACATGGTGATGCAAAGGTCCGGTGGAAGGTTGGATCGGGTGTTGACAGAACAGAACGTGCCCGGCACCGGGGTGCACTCAGTGCAGTTCCATGTTGTGAAGGTGACGCTGTCGTACGCGGCAGCCGTGGCAGCCAGAGCGATGCCTGAGAGAAGAGTCGAGGTGGAGAAATGCATGTTTGAAGGGGTTGTTGGGGTACTTTCTTTATCTGGGCTGTAGGGTGAATGGTGTTGTACGAGCCTATCTCCAGCAGATTGCTGCTCTTATACATCGTAGTAGGATACAAGGCATCCCGTCACAAGTTGGCCAAGCAGCCACGAGTGTGCTACAGCGGTTCGATGCCCAGAATAATCCCGCGCCGTCCATTGCCCGAATGCGACGATAGCAACAAAGACCCTGCATGTCAGGGCTGTTGACACCAACTGACGATAGTCCATGCTTTGAGAGGGCAGGTAGTCTTGATTTTGGCTTGGGCGCGGCGTATACGTGACTATCGTGGGAAAGACATCCATGGAACAAAGAAGTATGACTAACGATTGACATTGCTGATGCCAACTGTGATCTACGCGGATTTCCCTACGACCGAAAGATGACACGGGGTATCATGGAGAGCATTGGCGGTGTTGGTGGCGATGATCTCTGGAGGTGAGATTTTGGTGGCTGGTCTCTACCCATCCATACTGAGTTTCATTGGCCGTCGCAAGTCTTTCCACATTTTCCATTTGACTATGATGTTTGCCGTGCACGTTTGCTATAGATTGTAGAAGCCTGTCTGGTAGTTCAGCAATATTATGTAAACCGCAAACAGCTCTTGAGCTTAGTAGAAAGCGCAGATCGGGAGTAAAACATGGCCTAGTATACATAAGTATGCATATATCGCCATTGAGGATCCTGGCCGCACACAAAAATCTGATGACGAATCTATGCGGTAGGCTGAGCCGCGCCCTAGGTCGAAAGAGACGGATAGTCGGCCTATGGTTGAGGTTATGGTTCAAATTCGACGCGTCCTCTTCACGCTTGGGCGAGATGGCGCATGCGCAGTCCCTGATAGAGATGCGATTGCCTGGTAGAGAGCGATTGCCCGAGACAGAAGCGTCATGACATAGTATTGGCTGCAACAGCACTAGAAGTCAGACGCCATAGCGCGAGTGCACTAGCTATCATGATGACGGTCGGGAGAAGTCGAGAAGACGGAGGCTGGGAGCCCTCGTCCAGACGCGTCGACAGGGGCGCCAAGACGCTAGACCATATGCGTCATCCTGACCCCCACAGGCCTTGTCGAAGTCTCATAGCCCAGCTCAGCACTTACGAGCTTCAGACACTGTTGGATTCATGCCGACCGCCACGAAATGTTGGCTGACGCTCTAGTTAAGATCCTGCAATCTCTTAGAGTAAGTCTCAGTAGCACATGCGTGGCAACTTCAGGTGCCGGGTTGGCCGTTCATGCCGGTCATTCCGCAGTTCTCGGCTATCAGTACATTGCAGACAATAAGAACAGAATCACTGACCCAGCTCTATACATTAGCTACTCTTACCAAACTAGTCGACGGGAATATGGGATTCGGCAGGACTCTCTTAACGCGTATGCTTGAGAACAGGGAGCAGATGACTGGTGCTACTGGAAGGTTGCAAAGGAGCTGAAGTAATTCGAGGAGTCAGAAGAGCCCTCAGAAGCACGTTATGCCGAGACGTAGCTCCTATAGCAATGCCGACAGTGAAGGTAAAGTTCATTGAAGTGTTCGTGGAAGGTGCACGTGGAGGATGTGGGCTGCCGTTCCCGAAGTGGTGTAGTGCGCGAAGTTTGACGCGTCTCTTCACAACGTCAGAGCTTCAAACCTCACCACATCCTCCTCGTCCACTCCATATATCGCGAATCTCTATCTTTTCCGTGTCTCTCACCCACAAATATCTTGCGAATTCATTTCATGCCTCATGGATATGCTAGAATTTGTCTCTATCACTGTTGTCAAGTCTCCCTATTGTCTTGCTATTGTCTAAATGCCCGTGATAATACGCGCTGCCTCACCAGGGAAGTCCCTCTGAGAGGTCTTCGCATCGACTATTATCATTTCTTTACATCATGCATTGCCTCATTACTTTATGTCTCCATCAAGTTATTGCGAAAGGAGTCGTCTGCTTTCTTATCTCTCTGTTAGGATTCGCACATCCATAAGCCTCGTCGCAAGCAAATTTCAGCGTCCAATTTCTTCCTTCAAGCCTCCACCTGACCCATGCATTGCACTTATCGCCTACGGTGTTCACTCGGCTGCCACTGAAGCAATCCTCATCTGACGAGGTTTGGGGAAAGCCCCACGGCTCTTTTTAAGAGCACGGGAGTGACGTCTTGGTCGCGCGTCACATGGCGATGAACGATAGGGAAACGGCGCATACCTTGCAGGACGGAGTAGTTCAAGCCTGGTCTTGCGCTTAGCGCTTCATATCAGGCAGCCGCGCTGATACCGCTATTGTGGGGTCGTTTGCCCTGAGTGAGAGCGGAGTCGCGCCCGCTTACCACGCACATTTATCAACACAGCGATATCAAATTTGCATCTAGATATTGAGAATTGGACTTACCATGGGTATATAATTGCTACAATTTGAGAGTAATACAATTATTCCGTAAAGCCTGCCTCGTGTCGCAGGTTGGTACACACCATTAGTTAAGTGTCCCCCCCAAAATGAAAAACCTCGCTGACTATCCACGTTCGAGCCCAGGTCCAACCACTCAGCCCTTAGTTTGCAACACCGAGTTGCATTCTTTGGGCTGAGTGGTGACCTGGGAGCAGAAATACGTGTTTCTCTCTCAAGTCAGGACCTGGGCATTAAACCCCACCTTACCTTAATACTCTTCGGAGTTCTTAAAACCAATACATACACCCTAGATATGGATCTGGGAACAAGACACCGGTGTATCTTCTTTTTTGCCCTTTCTTTTTGCCCAGCTAAGCGAAGTGAAGGCATCGCAAATAGGCAGCTACCGTGTTCCCTTCACTATGTTACCCACCCTCTCACCTGCCGACTACCCGCTCACTCACCTTCCTACTATCTCTCTACCTTAGTGTTCCCGCTAGCCTGTATCTTCTGGAAACAAATATCCTCCGCGACACCTTTCCCCCCAACACACCCTGCTAGCTTCCTACAACATCTATTCCTGGAGATGTCTAACCCTGCAGCTCTTGTCAGACGTGTCGGCGAGCCTTCTGAGTACCAGCTCCTGCGTGAGGTACTTCGCCGCAAACTCATCAAGGTCTCACCGGCTCTCTATCCTAATATCACGCTCGACCAGATCCTCGCTGCGAATGGCGTCAACAACATGTATCCCTATCAAGAGTAAGCATTATCGCATTCCCCGAGATGTGGTCGTGGAGAGCGCTGACAATTCCTGCTAGTCATCCGCTTGCCATGCAAGTCAACATGGGCGCCACCTTAGCAGGCGTGCTTTTCCGTCGCGGAGAAGTGAAGTACAACATCAAGAACCGCGTCCCGATGGGCCAATGGGGCTTTGAGACCGCCTTGGCCTACTTCTGCAGCAACAGCAACGACAACATCAGCTTCTCAAGTTACTTTCGACAGACCCGCGCTCGCCTTTACCTCGCCGCGTACGCCAAATACGAGAACAGGGCCACGAACGTCCAGAAGGTCTACATGCTCGCCTGCGCTGAAGAGAACGGAAACAAGCGCATCCAAGATCGCGGCTTCAAGCCAACACATTATCGCGAGCGTTTCATCCACGAGCTGCTACAAAACCCCAAAGACTTCGATATCTGCACGCAGAACCGCAACAAGGCTATCTTGAAGGACATGCGTCAGCTAGTCGAGTCCTGGAAGTCCATTGAAGCCAATTTCGACCCTCACAACGTCCGTCACCAGAAGCTGGCTGAGATTGGACCGGCTCTCATCGAGTTCTTCGAAGCTGAACACATAGTCAAGGATGACAAACCGGATAGTATTTCTGGCGTCAGCCCTACCAGTGTCATCGAGATCGATGTGACCAAGTACCAGCCCTTCACCGCCGACTATCGCATCTTGACGGGACTCTTGAAAGCTATGCAGGGTTTTCGTACCTACGAGACTGTGGACATCTTAGTTGTGGACGACATCGCTGATGGGCTCGATGGTCTGAAGGTTTCCAATGACATCGGAATGGATGTCACCCCGGTTGAGGGCCCAGCTCGACCTGTCTTGCATGTCCTGACTATGCCGGAGGTCGATCTTTCACGCCTCGGTGACGTTATCACACTAAACTTCGATTGAGCAGCATTTTGGTTCTCTACGACACTGTTTGGGCGGATAACAGACTATGGAGATAGATTTGGCGTCGATACATATTCGGCGACAGTAGGTCTAGCATTTCAGCTTGTTGGTAGATCTTCACGGTACTGGATAGGCAGATTTCGTCCGCTGGCCAGCTTGCTAAGAGTCATTCCCAACTGCCGTAGTTACGAATGAAACGCACACGCTGGAAGTGTTGCGTGTACACCATGGCTACTTTGATTATCCTTATCTTCGTCTCACATGTACTCCGTCGTGTTGGCCATCCAATATTAAGGCGTGTTGTCGCATTTTACAACCGCGTAGCCCGGGTTCTCCGCTTTCCCGATGGACTCTGTCCAGTTTCATCCCGTGACTCCGCCCAATGTTTGCTTCATCGCGTCATTTACTCCCCTAAGGTCTTAGTCAGTCGCGTAAAGTGCGCTCTCCGCGTTCTCTTCACTGCGATCGACACTGTCCGCTTGCACTCCGCCACCAACATGGACGACAACACCGAAGATATCGAGAACATGTCGCAGAACTTGACACCTGAAGATATGACGGCGCTTGAAGAGCTTCTCCGCCGCAAGACCGACAGGGTACCTAACGGCCTCCGCGCCCAGCAGACGCTACCGCTCGAAACCATTCTCTCTCCTTCCCCGCAGCAACAGTACTTTCCCTATGAAGTGTAAGTCTTATTCCGTGTTCATAAGTCCATTCAACAACTTGTTCATACTAACGAATCCATAGCGCTGCTGTCGCAGAAGGCGCGACATTTGCCGGTCAGCTCAAGCACCGCGGCGCTATCGCGCGGGCAATGCAATCGTTCACCCCCATGTCAGAATGGCCAGTTCAAACCATACTCGCCTACTTCACTTCCAACGTCAATCGTCATATGTGCTTCTCCCGCTACCTCAAGCAAACGCGTGTTCGGCTATTGGTCAATCTGGTGTCACTGCTCAACAAGACTGACACACCCATGATGGCGGTATGTCTTCTCGAGACCTTAGGCTATCACTTCACTAACGCCGTTCTACAGGCTTACACACTAGCCTGCATGGAATACGTCCAGCATCCCAGTCTCGGCGCCCAGTTCGACCCCGCGAATCCCACAAAGCACCAGTTCGCCTTCGTTCACATGCTGAAAGACAACCCCGACGATTTTATCGTACTCAGCGGTGACTCACGCAACGAATATGTCCGAGCGAAGCTGACTACATACCTCACCGAAGCACGCAATGCGTGTCCAGATTGGACTCAAGTACCTCCCCCGACACGCGCCTTGTTCGACTTCTGCTTTAAAGGCGGTCAAGATCAGATGAATGAAATGGCGCAGAAGGTGCTGACTAAGAAGAGGAAGAGGGGAAAGAAGAAGACTACGCCGTCGGTACCGCAGGGCGATGTGCCGTTTGTGTATAAACGTGTACTGCCGTCGCTGTTCGAGTATGACGACAGTAGGATCAAGAAGTTGTGTGCTGGGAATGCGTTGCTAGAGGGACTGATTGAGGGGATGCCTGGTGTGAGGGTGTTGGGTGAGGGTGATGGTGCTAAGGGTGAAGAATACAAAGAAGCTGTTGAGGGCGGCGAAGAACTCAAGGTATCTGGAGTGGAGGAGCCAGGTGAGGGGTTTGAGAAGGGCTTGGATGAAATGGTAAAGGAGGGAGGTGGTGCTAAGGCTATGGCGAGTGTGGACTTGACATCGTGGTATGACTGGAAAAACGTGTAGAGATAGGTATGCCTGGCACTCCTCAAGCCACTTTAAGTGTTTGGCGGAACTGTTGGGTAGAAGCTTTTCCATCTACATAGGTTTATGAGACCATTGCCTACCCTCAATACCTTCCACGAGTACTTCTCGGGTTTATCGAAAGGTAGATGTCATCAACGCATCACTTATATGTTGTCATCGTCGTTACCTCTTGAATTGGCGCTGGGGGCATTCTACTCAAAGCCCTCGCGCATCTAAGAGCACAGTAAGATAAGTGCTCCGCTTTAGAGTTGAGTCGTCGACATGCACGTAGCCCGCAACATCGGCTCGCAAGCGACGCTAATCGACACTGGCGATCTGAGCGACTTCAACGTCATGAGCTTGGACGAGCCTGACAAGTCGTATGAGGACGACATCGAGGAATTGTACGTGGATGGCGATGAAGATGAGATGGACATCGATGAAGGCATTTGCATTCTTGATAGCGCTGATCTGGACTTGTGGGTGAAGAGGGCTGAGTCTGGTATGTAGATATCCGGGTATGCGTTGCTCCCTTCAGGGTACTTTGGGTGCTTCGGTGGCTCATTATGAGGGTGTTTGCCGCCTACATAGGCTTGTGAGGACATATATCTTGCTCTGTACACTTGGTGAATAGTTTCCGGGTCAGGCATACAGTAGACGAAATGGCTCAGTACACAAGTAAGCCTGGCATCCTCCAAAACACTATCATCTTCTAAGATTGCTCTTCATCAAAGCTCTTGCAGTCTACATACGTTTTCGACTACATCATCCACCCTTCGCATCCTAACTAAATACCTCCTAGACCGACTCAGCACTTCACCACGCACTTGCCAGCATGTTTGTAGTCCTCAACCCACTCCCCACAAAACCATAACATTCCATCATATTCCACATATCCACCCCCCATCCGACCACCCAGCCTGATACACAGGATTCTCGGTCTTATAATACACAGTCTTGACCGGCTGCTGTTGAGATGCATACCTTCCTTTGGCCTTTGCGCTCTCCTCTCTGCTCTTCATTCTCCTATCCACCATCTGAAGAGTGCGGAGTTGTTGGTTGGACAGGCCGGTCAGACCTTTTGCTGTACGCGGGGTGGTAGTGAGGTTGCGGTGGGGATCGTTGCTGTTGTGATATGAGGATAGATGACCGGGCTGTGAATGCGTGGCAGGAGGTTGTTGGGAGGATGAGGATTCGGCGGCAGTAATGGCGGGTTTCGTATTTCGGTGTCTTAGACCGTGGCGCTGCGAAGGTGTGAGAGTTGGGTTGGCAGCTCTTGATGACGTCTCATCTGCGCTATTGCTACACCGGGGATTAATGGCCAATCCAGATGGTAGATGCGTCTCGGCCTGCATCTTGTAATTCCAATCCTCGCTACCTTCCTCCTTCACCTCCTCATCCCAGAAATCCATCAACTCAGCCATCTCAATCATACAGTGCCCTTTGTCTCGCATATGCGTCTGCACAGCATCCACACTTCCCTTTTCTTGTCCACAGTAGAGGCACTCGTGGTATTTGTAAACCAGAACGGCCAAATACGAGAGAAAAGACTCTAGCGAGTAGAGTTGCGAAGGCGTGGGTACGAAGAGGCTGTGCTGTGTCGACATGTGGTCTAGATTTGTGGTCGGAGTGGGAGAGGAAGAGGGGCAGAAGAGACATCTTGTTGATGACAGAGTCTTGGGATGGTCGTCTTGTATATCTTCTGTCCGTGGGTTGGAATTGGTAGTGCGTCCGCTAATGTTGCGCGCAACAGCTGTCTGAGGTTTCCGTATGAGAGCATCGTCGTTCTTTCTCTGTCGGGGCGTGACCTCCTCGCTCTTGCCTTCTAGCATTCCAAAGTCTTGCTCGGATAAAGCTGGCAGTTCAGAAATGCGCCTTTTGAGATTGTGGATGCTGTCACAGAACGTCAGTCTAATAAGTTTGGCGGCTACATGCTCAGTATCATCTTACTGCCAGGGTTGATGCATGTGTGCACGCTGTAGCGCACTGCTTGTGAAAGAAAGAGAACATGTGTTGCAAGGAAACGCTGTCCGCGATTCCGATGTCATCTCAGAGGTTGTCTGTGTAGTTGTTTGTTGTGAGGGTTGCGTGGAGAAGAGGTAGGCGGCTCTGGGCTGAGAAGGTAGGAAAGTACCTCTCGTATGAAGGCGCGAATGCGATCGGCTTTTCTCTGGCCAATTGACGTATCCAGGCATTCAAATCTTATATAGGTAAATCAATTCACACTTACTGGCCCGGGGAGTACTGGCGACCACCAAGTCACGTGCCAAGCTATCCTCGGCGCAGCCACCTCAAGCCACAATGAGTCATTTGCACTCACTCCCACGCATACTCACTCAACAGTATCCTGTCTTCCTGTTAGCTAATCAAACATCACTGTGAGCAGAATAGATCCTGAGAGTACGTTTTCAAATCCATTTTTTGATTGTCAATCATGATACCCATGCTCCCGCCAACTTTGCTTCTTCTTGTTACTCCTCCGTTCCTCCTTGAGCTTCTTCGTCAGCCCCAGCCCGTCAAGTTTGGAGAGTACCTTTTCCACCAGCTTAGTAACACTACTCCTCCTCTTTACTTGTTTAGCCGGTAGAGCAGTGATCCCTTGATCTTCAACGTGCGGCTCGCCTTCTTGGCTATACTCATACTCATCAACGTCAAAGTGGTCGGATATGGGTGAAAATAATTGTTCAGCACTGCGGTGCGCGTAGAATGACTGGCCATCGGTCTCGTATCTGATTTTGGTGTCGTTGTCATAGCCTTTGACGTAGCCTGGGCGAGACGCACCGCTGATTTGTGAGACGCGAGAGGGAAAGTAGGTTGCAACCCCATTTACCATATTGATACACTTGTGTTGTTCGTAGATTGGTGTTTTTGACGATGAGGGGGCTGGGGTCGTAGGGACTTTCTTAGATGTCCGGACATGCAGGTCGAGGCGGCGGCGGGGTGAAGGCTGGTCATCGGAAATGACAGAGTCGTGGCGCGAAGAATTATGAGAAGAAAGTGATTCCGACGACGTGCGATCACTTTCCTCTGATGTCCGAATGTGAGAGTGAAGACGTGTTTGTCTGTCGGTGGGTAGCGATGGCAGTGGCTTCTGCTCATGTGCCATCATAATTGGATCCATGTTCGGGACACCGCGTCGGATAGACAAAGGCAGAGGCTGTGCTGATGACCTATTCAGTGCCGCGAGGTCCTGCTCCTCCTGTGACTTCCTTCGGTAGTGAACGATCGGTTTCATATTACCATCCCAATCGACGATCATAGTGCCCTGACTAGCTGGCCGGTTGTCCTGAGCAGGTGCGATAAGGGATTGCCATGTTGCCGCATGGTCATCGATCATTTGCGTTAATTCCGTTGCAGCTCCATAACGAGAGCGAACTCTGGCATGGTGCGTGGGTCGGTATTGGGAGCCTTCGCTGTGATTGCGAATGTGACGGGAAATGTTGCGTGGTTGAGGTGACTGCTGAAGAGTGCAGCCTGTGTCATGGCGGTCGGCGCCATGAGCAAAACCGTAGAACGACATAGCGTTGAGCGGCCGTGATTGTTGTGTTGAGTTGGTGGAAGGTGTCTACTTTAGTCTTTGTTTCGATATGTTCGAAACTGAGTCTTTGACGTTGTTAAAGTAGTAGAGCAGTGTAGTTACTGTGAGTTGTTGTTCCTGTGTGTGGTACGTTAGAATCGTATGGATGTTTATGGGAGGCAAGTTGTATAGACTGAGGGAGGCGCCATGGTATGTGCACAGTGCGATACGAACATCGCGTATAGTGAATTCATGTGCTCGATAGTGACGGGCTGTGGACGAGTGATGCTACCACATCGATGATCGTTCGTCCATTGTGAAAGTCAATAATTGATGATGAATGGACGGGCGGTCGAGGTTTTGAGATGAGATTAGTGTGAAGCGAATCTAACGCATCGTCATTAGCAAATTAAATACAATCCCGCTGGCATGCCAATACCCCACGTTTCGACGTTGGTGGCCAACTTATTTCGAGCAACCCAGGTATACTATGAGTGCAATCTCTTCCGTCTACCCACGTTCTCTTACGTCTCGAGATGCATATGAACAGAAATGACGCAACAGATTGCTATGGAACATGTCAGACACAGGAAGGAAAATGGTATAGACCAAAAGCACAAACTCCGTGGCGAACGATGAAGGGGAAGAGTGAGAAAGCACAGCGCATGAACCCCGGGTATTACCAAGCTCCGAAGACCCTCATGATGGATGAAGATGGCCTGAGAGTACCGAGAAAAGACAGATGAAACATCTAGTTCTTGTCCTTGCTGGATAGCTTGTCCTTGATCTTGCCGAAGAAAGAGCGGCGCTTCTTCTTCTTATCGTCAGCACCGGAAGCGATGCTCTGGCTGCCTGGAGTGCCCTTGGGAGAGACGTCTGAGTCTTTCCTGAGGTTCTTGGCGGGGCTCTCTGGGGCCAGCTGTGCGGCTGGGGCAGAGCTAGTGGCCTCGGTCTTGGTTGTCTCTACGCCGGTGGTGACAGTCGGCTGGGTCTGCTCGGTGGTAGTTGGCTCCTGCTTGTTGAATGCGACTTCGGTAGTAGAGTCGATGGGCTTGGAGGTTGGCGGCTGAGCAGGCTCCGATGCGGGCGCGTTGAGTGCGTTGGGCTCGCTGGAAGACTTGAGTGGCTTAGTGTCGACAAGGGCCTCATCGGAGAGACCGGCAGCATTTTGGCTTCCTACAACAGCAGCACTAGGAGCTGGCTCGCCGGTAGCCTCAGTTGACTTCACTTCTTGAAGAAGTTCAGTCTCCATAGCCCGCTTCTCGCTGACAGCCTCAGCATTGGTAGCGGCCTCGGGACTGACGTGTGCCTCCTTCTGGCTCTCGGCGACGACATCCGGAACATCACGAGCAACGGACTCGTTGACTGATTCCCTGGTAGTGCCGGCTACGACAGCAGCAGTTGCACTGGCAACAGCGGTCGCAGCAACCGCAGCTCCCGCGGCAGTCGCAGCAGCAGGTGTGGTCTCAGCAGGTGCGGTCTCGGTGGTTGCAGCAGTCAGTACCGGAGCAGGCTCACCAGATTCTTCAGATCTTGGGAGCTTGTCCAGTAGCTCAGACTCGACAGCCGACTTCTCTGCTACGGCCTCGCTGTTGGCAGCGGCTTCGGGGCTAGCGTGTGCCTCATGTTGGCTGTCAGCGACAACCTCGGGTACGTCGCTGGAGACGGTCTCAGAAGTAGCAGCAGGAGCAGTAGTGGCTGTGGCAGCGGAAACGGCGGGGGCTGGCTCGCCGGCCTCGTTGGTCTTGGGGACCTCGCGCAACAGCTCAGACTCCATGGCAGTCTTCTCTGCGACAACCTCGGGGCTGGATGCTGCTTCAGGACTTGCGTGTGCCTCCTTTTGGCTCTCAGAGACGACGGCTGGGATGGCAATGGCGGGAGCCGGAAGACCAGTCTCGTTGGTCTTGGGTACCTCGCTAAGAAGTTCCTGTTCCATGGCGGACTTCTCAGCAACAGCCTCAGGGCTGGCTGCGGCCTCGGGCTCCGCATGTGCTGTGTTCTGGCTCTCGGCAACAATGGACGGAACCTCATCGGCAGTGGAGGTGCTGGGCTCGTTCATGCCAGTAGCCTCAGCAGCCTTCTCCTTGGCAGAGTAGACAGCCGCAGTGAAGAGACCCGCACCAGCAGTCGCGCCAGCGGCAGCAGTGGCGGCGGCAGCTTTAGCAGTGTCGCTCAAACCAGCGTCTCCGCTAGCTGCGGGCGCCTCAGAGACGGTCTCCTTCAGCTCTTGCTCCATCTCCTTCTTGTCCATGACAGCCTCTGGGTTGGCAGATGCCTCGGGGTCGACATGAGCCTCCTGCTGGCTTTCGGTGACAGTTTCGGGGACACCGCGAGGCTCTAGGGGAACTTGGGCGGCGAGATCGGCGGTTGTGCTGTGAGGAGCAGAGGATTGGATCGTAACGCCGGTGTCTTCCTCGACCTTGGCATCAGCGCCCATAGGGAGGCTCGATTCTGGGATCATGTTGCCCATGACTGGTGGGATACCGAACATGCCACCCTTGGCGTCGCGCTCAGCCTGGGGAGTGAAGGCGAGGGGAGGGAGAGCATCAGACTTCTCGTAGGAAGAGGGGTCTGTCTTGACTGTGCTGTCGACGGTGTTGGAGGTCAAGGTACTGGCATCGGGCACCTTCTCGCCAGGCGCAAGGTGGATGGGGTTGCCAGCGCCAGCAGTAGCGGGGATGGGCGCAATACCGAAAGCAGAAGCCTCTTGCTCGGGTTCCTTGTCATGCTTGACAGTCGAGTCTACGGTGTTGTCTGTGAGAGTGCTCGCTTCGGGAACGGGCTCGCCAGGCGCAAGCTTGATGGGGTTGCCGAGGCCAGAGGTAGCGGGAATGGGCGCGACGTTGAAGGTTTGTGGTTCGCTGCCAGGTGTCTCTGCGTACGGTGTCTCGGGGAAGGCGCCGGGTACAGGAGAGTTGGACTTGGCGTCCTTCTCACTCTCCTTGGGCACAGCGCCGGCTAGCGCAGCGGTTGTGGACTCGGGCGCGGCAGAGGACATGGTGTTGACGGGCTCCTCGTCGACGATGTCTTCGGGCAGGAGGACGTTGTTGATGATGCCGTGGCCGTCGTCTTCCTTGCGCGCGCTGTCGTTGGTACACCAGTTGCCGTTTACGACGAACTGTGGTAGAGTGTTAGCAGAGTCTGCGCGAACGGGGAAGCCGACGGTATGCGACGGGGCAGGTGCGCACCTTGTACTGGGTGTGGGTTTTGGGCAGCTCGACCGTCTTCTTGAAGATGCCATCCTCGTTGTCGAGCTTGACCGTCTTCCTCCAGTCATCGAAGGTGCCAGTCACGTAGACCTCATTGGCCGAGTGTTCCCTGTGCGCGTGTAAGCAGTTGGGCACGGAAGGTGCCTAAGCGGGCGTGAGGCAGGCGCGAACGTACCAGGTGAAAGTATATTTGCCCATATCAGCGCAGCGATGGACGTGGATCAGGGATTGCAGAGTTGGGAGGAGGGAGTAAGACCTGTCTTGGGCGCAGGGAGGAGAGGTGTGGAGGTGGTTGGTAAGTCAGGATCAGGAGCTGCGTCGGGTGGAGCGAGCTAGTTTGCGGCTTGAGTGCGCGCTCGGACGGTTTGGGGAAGATGGAGCTTGCGACTGTTTTCGCGCGACAAACAGCAGCGATTTCAATGCAGACACAAACACAGAGTCAGGAGCGCGACGGATATGCCTTGTAGATGCGGAATTGGCGAGGCTGGCGGTCTGGTCGCGACAAGGCGCTGAGTCTGCAAGATTAGAGACGGCGCCGCCAGCTGCAGGAAAGCTTGGCGGGATGCCGTTCATCGCGCGAGCCCTGGAACACGCGGGACCGACGGCGAGCATGTGCAATGACGAAACCTCCATGGCGTCGTGCTCAATTGCTGCGACTCTTCATAATTCTCAGGCCGCCGTGCACAGTCAAATTGTGCTGCGCATGCAATTCGTATCCAGCCGCTTCATCTCGCAGGCTGAGCGACACGACGGCCCCTCCAGTTTTGCGCCGCGTGCCTGTGCGCCTCCCATGGCCGGCTTTGTGCGTCATCGCCATGTCCTGGACCTGTCGGAATATCTGGGCGGATTCCGGGGTTGCACGTGAGCTGCTACCTACCTACAGTAACCTATGCTGGGTACCACTCGATGATTTTGTCGTCGACTTATCTCAAATACCGTCTGGAACGCCTCTTGATCAGAGTTTTCGTGTCTTTCCTGCACCACGTCTCAACATGTTGATGGATTCACCGCATCGGTGCCCATGTTGAATGTGTGGCTCACCGCCAATTGCAAGGTTGCGCCTCCCATGCCGTGCTCGTCTGAGCGACTGAATCCTATTGCACAAGCTGCGAAGTAGACGGCATTTGATATAGAGTTGCTGTTGTAAAGAACCTGCCCGAATGCTGTCTACCCACACGGTCTTGCAGTTTGTAGTGCGGTGTCTGATGGGCACCATGGATGCGCGACTGGATGACGTGAGAGTCAATGCGACACCACAACACCATCCTGAATCTCGCTAGGCGACAAGAACTCGACAATGTGATTTAAGGCAATCAAAGCTCGGAGCCGCGCCTGTCGACACAATGTCTCAGCTTGATAGTTCACGACTCAAGTGTGGGATATGTTAGTGCAAGCTCCAGTCTGCGCAGGCCAGCGGGAGCTAAAGCACGGCTTGAGCAGCTATGACAGCTATCGCAGCTGTCTTGCCCAGGTGCTACAGGAGCTCTATGGGTGTGGGAGTCACACCAATTGCGGCGGCGAGAGCGGGCAGCCGTCGCGTAAATGTCACCGTGGGAGCTGGGAGCCTACAGCGTGCGAGGGATTCTAGAGGCCTTCTGGAAGATAATAAGCCCCAGGAAAGCTTGCCTCGATCCTTACCAGTGACTGCCCTGCCCGCCATCCCACACCCGTAATCGCTCCTCCCGCACACGCCCCCTCTCCTGCGCATCCTCACCGCGCTCCTGCTGCTGCCAGTCCCCTACGGTGCAGCCTGCCATTGCGTCCCCCATTCACGCATTCTCTCTCGCGCTGTCGCTACGTTCTCGCGGGCCCTCGCAGCACAACTGCCTCCATCCCTGCACGTCTCGCGACCGACGTCAAAGAGCTGCGCTTGACCCCTCACCACCACCGCCCTCATGTCCCTCCCTCCCGACTACTCCAACGAGATCGCCACGCTCGACCGCGAAATCCTCTCGCACAAGCCCCACGACATCCTCCAGTTCTGCGCAAACTTCTTTAACCGCCGTCTCGAGTCGCAGCGCACCGAATACCTGCTGTCGCAACAGCACTCCAGTCCCCAGGGCCGTGCCGAGAACTCGTTCCCCGGCAACAACCCCTTCAGCACCTCGCCCAGCGCCGGCAGCGGCTTCACCAAATCCACCATGCAGCGTCTCGAAGAGGAGGAGGAGAACGACACCATGACGTCGCCCACGGCCTCGACCTTTGGAGCTATCGACTTCAACCGGTCCCGCTCCACCAACAACAACGACGCGGGTGCGAGCGCATTCGGCGACTTTGGCGGCTTTGGCGGCTCCTCCAAGAACAACATCACCCAGATGCCGCCTCTGTCGGGCGAGGGCCAGAACTTCCCCAGCAACTACAACACCAACAGGCGCACCTCCGTCTCCGCCGAGTCGCTCAACCCCGCCTCCAGCGCCGCCGACAACTTCACCCCGCCCTTCCACCAGAAGACGCAGGACCAGCTTTCGCGCCTCAAGTCCGCCGTCTCCGGCAACTTCCTCTTTTCACATCTCGACGACGACCAGTCGGCAATGGTCCTCGGCGCGCTGCACGAAAAGCCCATACCCACAAAAGGCATAAAGGTCATCTCACAAGGCGACGTCGGAGACTACTTCTACGTCGTCGAGAAGGGCGCTTTTGATATCTACGTCAACAAGTCAGGCAAGGTCGAGGCTGGCATGGATGGCGTTGGCGACAAAGTAGGCTCCGTCGGACCAGGTGGTTCATTTGGTGAGCTAGCGCTCATGTACAACGCCCCGCGTGCTGCAACAGTCACCTCGACAGAGTCATCTACACTCTGGGCACTGGATCGCATCACCTTCCGCCGTATCCTCATGGACAGTGCTTTCCAGCGCCGCCGCATGTACGAAGGATTCCTGGAAGAGGTTCCCCTGCTGTCTACCCTGACTCCCTACGAGCGCTCCAAGATCGCCGACGCTCTCGAAACCAAGAAATACCCCCCTGGCACAACCATCATTCAGGAAGGCGATGTCGGCGAGTCCTTCTTCCTGCTTGAGTCTGGCGAGGCCCAGGTCTTCAAGCGCGGCGTAGACAGCGCCGTCAACCAATACCAGAAGGGCGACTACTTCGGTGAGCTAGCCTTGCTCAACGATGCTCCTCGCGCTGCCTCAGTCGTCAGCAAGACCGAGGTCAAGGTCGCAACACTCGGAAAGAACGGCTTCCAGCGACTACTTGGGCCCGTTGAGGGCATCATGAGACGGAACGATCCCAGCAAGGCTGCTTTCGAAGGCGATCATGTGGATCCGCTGTCCAAGACTTCATAAGCGTGTTCTTGCAGGATTAGAAATACAGAATGCTCCACTCACACGGGAGGTGGGTGGCACTGTTATACACAGACGGAAGACCAGGGCGTGGACAATTGCGGCCGGGTGTGGTCCTGTCACTCTTCGGCGTTCTCGCATGTATTCCTACGCTTCCTACTGTCACTAAACTTCGCTTAATGCCATGGAAGATGATACAGCTTCCCCTCAGATCAGGAACGAGCTCTGGTATGAGCTGCTCTGTTACCTATACTCCACTGCGTACGATACTCATGCTTTAGACTTACACTTTCATGCTTTCCTTGGGCGACTATCAACATGTGACGTAATGTATAAGTTGCCAGGAAACAACCGCGATGACTTCCGCAACCCTCCAAGTCTGCGCTGCGTAAATGCTCTCATGTGCTCCTGCCCTCGCTCGCTCTGATGATGTGACATAATCACGGTGCCCCGTGCGTTGCCAACGGCGCTACCAGGTATTCCGGGATGCAGGTGCGCTCTTCCCCTCCAACACCACACCCAATGGTCTGAGAGCGCTCTCACAATTCTAACACCACAGGAACGCGAGCTCTGATCGAAACAACAGGAAAATGTTATTCAGCAAGAATAGCCATTCTCCTCTGCCAAGTGCTTCTGCTCCACACCGCCTACTGATCGTCATGCAGTCATCGTGGCGTTCGCCTCTGGGGACATGGGTGTTCAATGCGAGATAGCGTATGTGGATGAAGACTCGCAGGTACGTCCATGATTGTACCTGAGAAAGACTGTCGAACTGCTGCTCACGATATCTAACGGAGCTTCAGACGATCAAGGGCGGGTTACTCATAGCTTGCAGCTGTGCACGCAATGAACACTAACGAAGCGTCATTCAGCTCTCCATATACTTCATCGCGATTACTACGCCGTTGGTAATACTAGCAAGAACGTAGCACATCTCCACAAGACGTTTCGTGCCGTTAACGACTCGCCCTAACTACCTACCGAGGCATTGCTGCTTACAGCTCTCATGTATCAACAAAGCAAAAGAGCGACGGCAACCCCGAGCAAACGCGGGCGAATGCAATTCTCGTGAATGGAAACTCGCGCTTCACATCAACTGAAGAAGAAGTGATCGACTATATCTACTTTTCTGGGCAGCAAATCGTCATGTGCGCTTCCTCACAGCCCCGTTCCTCAAGACTTCGCGATTTCCGATGCAGTGTGCAGCATGCAGCATCTTGCATGCAAGATCGCAATGTTCAGAGCGTTGCTTTTGAACGATACGGGCACGGCAGACGCGCCTAGTTGATAGTGTAGCAGCGGATACCTACCCCTGCATACACTATGACGCATTCGACGGACCAATGTCTCTGCGAATCTCAGTCTGAGCTTACAATTACAACGGGCTGATGCAACTGGACAGGCGGTCTCAAAATCTCAAAGCGATCCAATGACCGGAAGCTGTGCATTTCTCATCGTGTGCACCTGCAGCTTATATGCAGCGACCGGGATGAATGGACACTAAGACTAAACTGGGAAAATGGGTTTATTATCTACAAGCATGCCAACGCCGTTCACGCACAACTTGGCCGTATCTTCGTGGTTCAAATCGCGCGTGTCGGAGTGTGCGGGCGTAAGGAAATCGGTCTGGCTGCTCCAAACTAGCATGAAATACCCATGTGAGTATCTGGAGACCTATTGGAGTCTCCCTCACGGGTCTCACTTCATTGCAGTACGCCTCGGTAGAAACTCTTGGCATCATCAAGAGATGTTGTAGCGGTCTGTATGCCGTAGCAGGCATGTCCACGTTCCCGGCGCTCGGTCGTTGATGATGGTGCTGCACGCATCAGCCACACACTACGTTGAGGCTACTCCTTCCCTCCCGCAACGTTCTGCGGGCCAGGGAGCTTGTGGCGCACATCGGCTTTCGTACGGGACGATGGGCGGTGACCGCATTCGCTAGGAAAAGCGACTATGCTCCACTGCCTGGCATCGATTCGGTATGTACTGTGGCAGGGTAGTCATACCGGCGTGCGCGACGTACAGTTGATCAAGATCACACTGCAAAGAGAATGTCCACGTTGTACGCTGCGAGATCCACTTTTGATCCTCGATGCTGGCCTATTTTGGTTTGGGTATGGTTCATGAAACATGGACCTCCATCCACAGTTGTATGGGAACAGCCGAGATCAGTTCGGCACTGGTGTCTCTTTGGTGTGTCCCAGTGTGGCTATGGCATGTGGCTTCAAGGTAGGTTAGCACTGATCTGAAGCATCGCATACGGTACCTGGATCTTACGTTATCTGTCGACTGCGTACACATCCCTCTACTTATGACCTAAGATCGTTCGCGATACATAATGTCTCAAGCAGCATCAACTCGATTCTTTCCACAGCTCTCGAACCGCCTACAACTTCGCACCGCACTTTCGACATGGCCTCATCCAGCGATCAAAAGGCATCTAAGAGACGCGTCGGACGCCAACGCCAACCACCCCTTGCACCTGGACCTCCATTCCAGTTTGTCGTCGCCAGCCACCCGGATGATTTCAAGGAGGTGGAGATCATGAGAAAAGTGCGGTCGCACGTCATGTATACACACCGCGAAACCTTGTCACCTACGGACACAGCTGGCAGTCGAGAAGGCAGTAGCACACCAAATGTCACGACACGCACACCTAGCCCAGCGACAGCCAGTAGGAGCAGCATGTCACAAACAAGTGCTTTACAGGCAGCCACTTCCTCAAGACATCATGGCAGTGGGTGGGAACAAGATGCGCACGGCATTCAAATACCATCACCATCTACCCACCCCGTGCGAGTGCTTGCCGCTCGGATACATTCCGCAATCACCGAGGCATCCCCTCATGGTCAGGCCCGAGCCTTCGATGAGGTTCCTGGGTACCCTTTCCCCGGGGGTAACGCTCCGCGGCATGAGCTGTTGGAAGATTTGAAGCGTGAATGGATTAGCACTACCACTTTCTACTGTTACGGTTTGTCTCTTTCTTTCTCTACATCGAACACTCACTGATGGCAGCAGACCAAGCGTGGATGCAATACGTTTGCGGCAATCATCTTTCGTTCCTTAGCCACGTACACGCGACACTGGTCTATCAAGATCTCGACGACGGCCTACTATACGACAGTGATCTTACTGTATATGCGAGGACCAGGATGCTGGGGCTGTTTCATGGCCGACTGGACACTGATGATACCACCATCCTCAGCATACTCCATATGCTTATCAGCGAGATCGGTAGCCCTGAAAAGGATGCATTTGGAGTACATCAGGATGGCTTGGTGACCTGTGTAAGGAGTCGACGAGACGGGCTAGGCCCAAACATTGCGACGTTCATGACCTTGTAAGTTGTACTTGCTCAGTCTTTGCTATCCACTAATTTGGATAAGGGTCATGCTCACTTGTGCCATCTGTCGCGGGCAGAACGAGTCGGTAGAGCTCACACCGCGATCATCTTCTGAAGCGTGGGTCGGTCACAACAGTCCGATCTCGCCGCTGTTAATCTCCCAGGAGCACATACCCCCTCTTTACCGCAACGGCTCAACAACTACCAACGACATCATCCGAAAGATGCAGAGGTGTACCTACATCTTCCTAGCAAGATGGACGCACAAAGGTGACCCTCATATGATATCAAGCGGCCAGATAGCGACATGCGACGCAGAACTACAAGACATATATTCCGATCTGCTTCTACTGCCCTCTGCAGAATACGACACACAGCCTGACTGGATCTACGAGAGCTGTCGTATTGCTGCTTTGATCTACTGTAGATCGGTAGTTCATGGTGCAACACTTGCGGATTCGGCAAATATCATGCACGCAAGCATATCTGGCTCTAGCTCCGAAAGCGTTACTCTCCTTGCAGCCCTGCATTCTGCTCTCGCCAAATCAGAGGTCCAAACTTGCTGGGGATTCGACCTTTCTGGCGCTTTCCTCTGGGTAGCTCTCGTAGGCGCAGCGGCGTCATGGTTCGCACCGCACTCCTCTTCAGATGAGGCATTACAGGCTTCAGCCTGGATGAGGAAGTGCTTTGCGCTATATGCAGTCAGAGCGGCAGTCTCGGTTCCTTTTGACTGTGCTGACGCCACGATACAAGCCTTGCGCACGATGCTGCAGGTCCGGCGGTTTATAACTGTCAAGATGGGGCCGGCCCTCCCTCAATGAGGTCATCGCGCATCTCCATACTTGTTGTGGGTACTTGTATCCTCACTTTCCCGATTCTCGTCATCTGTATAACAGTCGTTTCATTCACGTCACTTGTTCCATTGGTCGAAGTCGGATGGCTGCTACAGCCACGGAAGGACCTCGCAGTCAGTTTCATCTTTTGTCATCTCTACGCCTACGCCGGTACGTACGACTAGGGTCATACATGCAATTTTCCTTGTCAACTTTTCGGTTCTGTATTAGCGATTTCATGTTAGTCTGTCTGCAGAGCACGATGCTCTGAATCAAATTCCATGCTGGTCATGCAAGAACATTCGCCCTTTGGCTACTGTCATCTGTCCCCATGCAATTCATTCCAACACCATAGTGGACTAATCGGGATACGCGCAAGTCGTCTCCCCGGCCGAAGCACGTTGGAACGGTTGGGCAACAGCCGAGCAGCGCCCTGCAGCCCATAAGGCTGAATCGCCAGTATCTCACCGTTCGTACATTATAACCGAAGGAACCAACCGAGGAGCAGCGCGGCAAAGGGACGAATGTATCAGGCAACTCGTGACGACCAAGGCCACAGCACAGTCCACTTACGGTCAGATTCTAGGCCCTGGACACCTTAAACAATCCTTCCTCCGTCCCATGAACCAGTCACGCAGCCTTCCGCACCCCCACCGTCAGCAAGTGCTACACCGCAGCGAACATCTCCACAACGGCCGACCGACCGAGTGAACTATTCACTAGCCACACCACAGCCACAAGTAATCGCGAATGCAGTAACGCGCGGCACGGTCTCACCCCACCTCCCATCTTACACCGTATGTTGGGCCAACGGACCGAAAGCTCGC